GGGAGTGAGCGGCTCTCGGCGCAGCGCTTCCCTCAGAGAACTGAGGGGCAGAAGCAGAGCAGGGCGGCTGCGCCCGGTAAAAGAAGCGTCACACGCCCAGGGTCGCTTAAATAGAAACATTAACTTTTATTAGTGCGACGTCTGATCTGAATGTACAGTGGAAATAAAAACTGCTCGTCTCAAGAAGTGAGCCACGCGTGCAGACACAGTGATTTGCGCTCAAGTGTCTCCTCTGGTCAGCCACCGGGAAATAACTTCAGCTTAAAAAACAATCAGTAAACAATCAGCGAAGTTGACAATCATCCCCCACAAGTCTTCAGCACTTGTAAGTAACTAAACGCTGCACGGGATCATCCTTGGCTCCGAGAACAACTAATACTTTGTGGAGCAGCAAAGGGGAGGGATTACGTGTCCAGTCTTTGCTGGGCGCAGCATGTGCAACTCTTACCAAGATGCCTGGGTGCCCCGGGGAGCTGCCGCCCCGGCGCTCAGCACCCTGCCCCGTGCTGGACTCCCGCTCACACCAAGGGTGGCTGCACGCTGACGGCTTCACACGTTTTACAAGGGCCAATGGTTTCTTCCTCCCAGCTGCGCCGTGCAGTTGAAGCGCCACCATCCCTGGATAGCAAAGGCGGCAGCTCCCCCTGCTCCTACGCGAGCGCCCGCACAAAGTTGCCCAGCGTCCTCGCAGCCCTGTACGTCTCCCGTGTCACCACCAAGCGCCGGGAGGCGGACGAAGGCGTGCTACGGAGCAGGGGAACCAAAGCTCCAGCCACCCTGCAGGCCCTGGGCAGCGCAGGAGCTTGCGCCGGCACACGAGTGTTATTGTCATCATACACACGATGCACTCACAGGAGTAAAATACATGTTTTAGTGTTTTCTTGAACACTTACAAATAAAAAGAGAGAACAAAAGAGACCCTGGCGTCACAGAAAATAGCCAGACCACTGATCACACCAGAATAGTGCAATAAATTCTTGGTGATAACTGTCCCCACTGCGTGAACCACCAAACTGTCACCATGTCTAAGTTAGTGAGGGAAAGCCTGGTGTCCAATGCGAACAGCTCTTCCAAAGTACAGCTGCTATTTTGTAGATGCTGTATTAGTAGGAGGGCATAAGACTCCACTACAAGGCATCACATGGAAATACACTGGTTTAATAAACCAAAAAGGAAATAAAATATCAGCCAAACCAGCAGGCATCTTTTAGGCTCGTTTCTTTCTAAAATTCTGTAGTCATTTTACTAAGACATTTATGTACCTTCCTCCAAGCAGCTAAGCATTTGTCTGTCAATTTGTACCCATTTATAGGGGAGGTTTCAGAGGATCCCACAGAGCCTACAGCAGAACGCAACTGACTTCTGTGGGCACAGGGCTAGGTCAAGCTACGGTCTTCCGAAAATCCGTCTGCTTCAGTATCTGTTGCTGGAAGATTCAGATGTTCAGAAGCCCAGAACAACTGTGTCTAAACCAAGAGACTAAAGACAACTTTTGCCGGAACTTTGCCCTCAGGTCCTCACCACCAGCAGAGAAGAAAGCAGCCCTGAAATCAGTAGAAAGCCACTTTCCACAGCACTGTGAGAATTTCCACCCTTGCACCAAAACTGAGAAGATGCAGAAAAACAGTCTGACTGTACAAGAATAAATCGAGTGTCTAATAGTAGAGCAGGAAAAAATAATTAAAGAGTTACAGAACCTAACCAGATCTTCCCTGTGTATTAGGCGGAGGAAAATTTCCTCCTTTTTGGTTAAATGCAGATTTAAGAAACAGACGATTCCCAAGGGAAAAAAAAACTTCTCAGAAACAGGTCGCAGAATGGAGGTACTGCAGCAATTCAGTAAGGAAAAGAGAAGTGCAGCTTAACGTGCTGGATCATGTTAGGGAAGCACACACAAACAAACAGCTAGCAACAGTAATTCAGAGAGCTAGGATGTTCATCTTGCATCTTCAGAAAGAGAGCAACACTGAAGGGCAAAGCCCCTCGTATATGTAAGGGGGAACGGCTCCCCTGATGGCAAAGGAGCCACGGAGGTTTACAGTGGCTGAGCAATGAGCCCAAGGAACGGAGTTACCACCTCTGAAGTCCTGTGTCAGGCTCTGGCTTGCCTCCGCTCCCTAGTCCTTGAGACCAGCTGCAGCTCTGAAGTCACCCCCCCCATCTGCCTTGGAGTTGGCTGAAGCCACTTTGGCCAAAGCACCTGTGGTGCAGGGACTGCTCGCTAATTCTCTCCGGAAGGGGGATTTTACCCTCTGAAACATTATCATTTGATCAGAATAATCTTATTCCTTCTAGGAATCTTATTACTTATTTATTAAGACTAAAACTGGGAAAACCATGGGCAATGGTGGAAGCATCACTGAGGATTTTAGTTCTGTGCTGCAGTCTAGACACTCATGCACAAGATGCAGCCAAGGCAGATCGCGTGCCTTTAGAGCGCAGTGGCCTGGCTTGTAGAACGGAGACACTGAGGCCTTGCCGAGTCTCCGGCCTACACTGTGCAAGACAAACTGCCTGTTAGCAGACGAGACTCTGAATATAGATGCCTTGGAGCCTACCTACATGCTGTGGCACACAGATACCAGAGGCAGCTCTACAAGGGGAGCAACGAACTCCTTTAGCACAGAGCGTGATGGAGCCTAATCAACCCCCCCAAAAAGTCAGTGCACACTGACTCGAGAAGGAGATACACACTCACGTGGCTATACTGTGCTGATTATAGTAGCCACGCAGCCTGGTGTCTCTCCATATCTGCCTGAGAAAGACTTATCTTAGTGGGGAGCTGCCTCACATTGGAATCAGCAGTTTTTCCCTGCCCCCTTCCTGACACCATAATTTGCAGGCAGATCTCCCCAGGGTATGACTTGGCAGGCAGCTAGGAAAGAAAATCCACTGGACTTTCCCTATGAGGCAGATTCTCTCAGACATCAGCCGAGGAAGGAAATGAATAGCGCAAAACCACTAAGGTGACTGACTCCAACTACATATCCGGCATCCGGGACATGGCAAGAAGAGCAGCAGTCTGGGTTAAAGTAGAGCAAAGAAAGTTGCCAAAGTGTTATCACAGAGCATTATCTGCAGCCCAGACAGCCAAAAGGCAACATCTGGGGGACATGGAGTAGAGATGATAGTTTCAGCCCACGATGTCGAAGAGAGGGGTTGCTCCAGAACAGCTTCGCTGAGGTGACTGCATGTAAAAAGCTGGAACGAGTCTCTTATTCCTGGGGTATACGCTTACAGTTCACAAGGAGATAGGCAGGCAATGTCCTAGCGGAGTCCTGTTCCTCAGCCAAGCAGCAAGCTCGGGCCCTGGCTTAGGATACTAATTTGTTAGGCTCTGGCCTTCTGCTGAAAGCACAGCTTGAGGCAAATCTGCCCCTTGTGTGGAACAGGCAAAGCTGGAACTGCAGCACTGTGAGGACCCTGGGCTGCGGCAAGCGCTTTTAGACAACACATAATAAATAACTGTCATCACTGTGAAAGTTCCTGGATGGAACTGGCTCCAGATGAACAAAACTGCTGAGCCAGTTGTCAGCTAGGCAAAAAGATAAACCAAAACAATGCCAAAAACAATGCCTCTGTTTTGAAAAAAACAATACATTTTAAAATTTGATTCACTATCTTATCTCATGGATATTTTCTCAATGAAAATACTCCTTGCACTGGGGGAAAAAATACCTTTGTTTTTAAAACAGCAGAGTTTCCACTTGACAAGTAAAAAAACATTTTGGCTTTTCAGGGCCCTATACATACCTTAATGTGGAGGTCTGCTTGCATCCTAAACAATACATTTAACTGCCAAGTCTTCGATCACATTACACCTCACAGTTGATAATTGTGACACAAATATCAGAGAAAAAAGAATACCATTTTGTACCCTCCACCATCAAGAGCAATGCTGTGCTTTGTTTTGTTTTATAAGTTCAAGAAAAAACTAAAGGATAAATGTATCACTAACATGCAATGGGATCCTGCGCACAGTTAAAACAGGTAAGAGGTCTGTAAGGAAAAACATTTCAAATCATTGGCTTCTTTTTACTTAATATCTATGTATGTTTAACTAAATTTCAGTGAATGTTTTGGATTAGTTTTACAAATCAGTCCTGTGAAAGGGCCAATGATACTAACAGTCAGCGCACCCTGGTAGTAAGAAGCCTGTAGCACTCTACAGAAAAGACAATACGAGGCCTACAGCAAAATTTTCAAGTGTTCCTGGGTGACACAGGAGCCTGCTGTAGTGTACAATACCCTGCTAAAAGGGTACTCCCGCAGCCCACATTCCTAAGGCCATTTGCAAATTTTACCCGCGTCATTCTTATAACAAATCAGGGCATTTTCTTTTCACTGATATAGTGGTTATGATCATCTATGGCTGTCAGTGCAGGTACAAATAGAATGCAGGGCTGAAAAAAGCAGGATCTCAAGCAGTTTTAAAATGTAGTTTTAAAGTTGTAACTTAGCTGGTAATAAAAGTCTCCTCCTTTGACGATGCTGCAGATTCTCTTCCATCTCTATACCACAAAAAGTTAAACTCGACACGATCGTTTCCCACAGTGGACAACACTGGGTAGTGGTAGTTGGTATTAGGTCAGCTCTAATAGTTTATTCTCCAAGCCCACATGTTAAGGAAAATCTACTAAGATGTCCTGATGAGTGGAGCCCTTTCATCTTCAGTGCTCTGAAAGTAAAAAATTACGACACAGCAAAGTTAACTGTGGCACGTTAGATAGCTTCCAAGGTGGGGAAGCTGGATTTCTCATACTCCAAGCAGGAAAGGAAAAAGATCTTGGCACCTACTTCTAAGTGCAGTTTTCAGTAAGGGAACCAACACTGCAAAGAAGCACTGGAGGGCGGATGGTAGCTTTTGCAGGGACATGCACTGAGAGGATACAAAGAGCTCTCCCAACCAGGTCCCGACACAACACCAGCCACTGCACACACACTCAGAAAGCTTCTCAGGGCTTCAGCACTAAGCGAGGAAGGACATTGCCTTCTCTAAGGTGACACGGATTAAGACAGTGCTGGTACGAGGCAGGATGTAAACAGCCTATCAAGATTATACTTGAAGAGCTGTGCGTGCCAGCGGGGCCAGGGAGGGTTCCTAGAGCAGGACCGTTGGGTCAGTGGTAGGAAATACAGTGAGTCATGTGCTTAGGAGAAAGTATTGTCCTCTCAAAAGGTGGGAGATGTGAGGGAGGAAGTGATGGGCAAGTCATTAATTAGTGGGATAATAAGGAAGCAAAAAAAGGGAAGGCTCAGATTGCATCCCCACAGCACTGGGAGGGAGAGGGGGAAGAGGGCAAAGGGAGAAGGGAATCCTCTCGCTACAGCTGGAAGCATATCTGGGGGTGTGGTGTGCTCAGCTGTGAGCACTGCATCACTTGAATGTCAGGAGCGAGCTGGAGGGATTTCAGGAAGGACTCACTCAGCAAGGCGGATGTACTCGTTCACATGCAAAGACAAAAAGAGCTGGAGAGACTGAGCTGGGCCCCCAGTAGCAGCCTACAGCTGATGGAAGGCCATGAGCACGCTGGTGGGAGGGTAATGACACAGAGAATTGTAACTGGCTGAATTATTTTTCAGAGTCACGAGGGGTCTCTGTGTTTGCAGGAAAAACAACAAAACCAATGTAAAAAAAGCATGACATTTAGGTGTCCCTCTGTCATTTTAATTACTGTGAAGTGTTCAGAAACATCCAAGAGACTTGGTGTCAAGATATACATATAGGAACGGGAATATCTGGTACACAGGCCTCAGGCAATGGGACAGTTGAGACCCTGTGGCTGAGCCTGCCAATAGCACAGGCAGGCTCAAAAGCTCAAAGGAAAAAGGATCAGGCTCTCTTGTAAAGGAGTCTGAACTATGGTCCTGAGTGCATCTGCTCAGGGAAACCTTCCTGGGTATCCAGAGAAAAATGCCAGAGTGAAGCTGAGAGATCCAAAGATCTAGTTCCTCAAGCCACTGCTCGAGGAAGCCAGGCTGCAGGAGTGCACCACCTCATCGGCGAACTATCGCCACTGCTGCCACTACCATCGCATACCTACCCAGCACTGGCTCTCACAGACTAAGATGAAGCATGTGCGCAGCTTGGTCAGACACTCGGAGGTAGGCGTGAGGGGGCTTTTGACAGTTGTGAGGGTGTTCTTAGCAAACATCATACAAGCAAGACCACACCAAGATATGGCAACTACGAGGAGAAAACAGCCTACTTAGAGTACCCAGTCTATTACTCTACCCAAAGGATCCATAGTTTATCTTGTCTCAACTCCTCTGCCTTGCCTCGTAGGGCAAAGGCTTGGCATCAGCTTTAACATCAGCTTCTGCCAGTATGTATCTTCATGCCAGTATGTCACATTGTAACATAACTTTTCATAAATAGATGTGCAAACTAGCATCGTCTGGATAAAACTATCAGCATGCTATTGTCCTTACAATTCGTTTGCTTTCAGTCATAAATTTGCTTTATGATTTTGAAAAAAACCATCAACTTGGTAGCCTCCATCTGTCTGAAAAGCTGATAAGCGAAGCTGCTTAAAATCTGACTACAATTCGATGACTAAATAATGCCAGACCACATATTGTGAATGATTCCCAGTTCTCTGATGAACACTGAGGGAAACTACATTCAAAGCAAGCAAGCTGCAAAGCCAAACTAAGAGTCAGAATGGGCTTAAGGCTCGCAGGCTTTTAGAGGTCTCTCTATCAAGTAGGTTTGGAAAGCTGGCTGAGCCTACAAGAGCAGAGTTGCACAAGACGATTGTTTCTACCGAGAATGCTGTCAAATTGTCTGTGACTAAATCTGTTCATCAAATATGGTGGACTTTTTGCATCTTATCCTTTAGGGTCCTCTAGACAGGCTGATTTTTTTTACTACTATTGGCAAGGAAATTAGGCACAGGAAATACTACCCGCCTTACCATGTTTCTTATATTAGCTGCATTCCTTTGTTTGGTGCACTTATTCTGAGTCTATTAAAACTTCCCTTCCCTAGAAAGGTCATTTTAAACAAAAATAACACATAAAAAAAGTTTGTGGACGCTCAACAAGTAAAATCAACCAAAAGAAAGATCAAATACAGGCAAACATAGAGTAAACAAGCTCAAATTCAAATGCTACTTACCTCTTCGCTTATTCCACGGGACCTGCACACAAGCACAATAAAAACAATCCCAAAAACAATTCCTAGAGCCATGATTACGAAGGGGATTCCAGTTACAACGCTGGCTTCCAGCAGGACGTGCTTGAGTTTGCTGGCAGACATTTCATCGATCAGAACACTCTGGAGTAGAGGGGGATTAACAGAGAAAAAAGATTTATTTCTATTCTTCTGTATAATGAGCCATTTTATTGCTGTGAAGAGTAGCGAAAACAACACTGCTCCAACTCTGCTTCATTACTTTTTGATGTACCTTCCCTGATAAGAATTCTTCAAACTCCTTGTGTGGCCAGAGGGATAATCTGGCTCTGCATTTTCTAAAGAAAGCAGTGATTCTGAATGCTCAGTTTAGGATCACAACAATATAGGCCCGGAAGAATGACAGAGATCACCAAATCTAGTCTCATACAGTCCTCCTTCAATCCAGTGCATTCAGTGATCCAACTGCAGCACAGAAATAGCCACAAAAATCTCCTCTGACCTTGTGAGCCCCCTCCTCCGCTAAGCAGCCCTTTTTCCCCATGACCAATACCTTTGAAACTAGAAGGACTATGTGACTGAGGGTGTTTTGCAGGACTCAGCCTAATGCAATGATCAGCAAGCAATGGCAGAATGTTAGTAGGAATCAGTAACAGCTTCCTATCTCTTACTGCACAAAACATCAAGAAAAATTGGAAATTATTTTTTTTGGTCAGCAAAAAGACAGTATTTTTGTAAGCATAACATAAAATTATGGCAAAGAAATAAATAAAAATATTTACCTCATTTATATACATCACTGGGAAAATCAGTGTTCGGATGTTGCCTGTTTCACTGTGTTAAAAAAAAAAAAAAAGGTAAGAAATTATCGTTTTGCAACTTTTCAACTTGAGGTTTCTGAAGACCGATTACAAGAGAAAACTAATGAGGAAACTGCCTCTAAAGAAACTCTGGGCTATCCTTTTTTATTTTTGTTGATTTTCACCTCCCCACTGGAGTAGAACAATCTCAGCCTCCACGATGGAAAATAATTTTTGTTTTGAGAGCAATAACATACCTTGGGATTTGGTGGGGAGAGAAAAAGATGGATCCATAAGAGGGTCATTATTAACAGACTGAATGGCAAATTTGTGTCAGTCAGTGGGAATGCTAAGCTAAGCTGAAGTTGAAAGTTACTCATATTTGTTTAACATTGAAACTATTGTCCATACAACATGCAGGATAGCAGCTAAAAAAAAAAACACGTTAGGTACACATGAAATAACAGCTTACTGATAAGCTGTAACAGCTCCTGGACACCAGAAAACAATGTGGTAGCATTCTGAAGAAATATCATCAACCATCCCAAGAGGATCAGGCAGACAAAATAGTGTGTTTTTTTTTTTTAAGTCATAATATATAGCAAAGCTATGCCTATCAATATCAGCTCAGAAGCTGAGCAAGAAGAAAAGCTGCTCCATGGCACTGGCAACAATGAAATCAACACGTCAGAAAGACACAAGACCAAGTAAAAGGTCCTTTATCTGTGCACAACTGAGCCGCAGTTTGGGGACATCTCCGTCACACTGCAATACGCAGAAAATTATGCAGAACCCACTTGGAGCAGAGAAGAAAAGGGGTCTTTTACTCGCACATAACTTGAGATCATACCCATTTGAGGGTTGTACTGACTGCCAAAGCTGCAATACGAAAGCCTCTCTTACCCTACCAACGTAGTCACAGGCAAGTTACTTCTCTCTACCTGATCAGACAAGCCCTCCCTCTGGAGTTCTGGATAGGACTCGCCTGCCATTGCGAGATATCACACACTATCTACTCTTTGTGCCCATGGGGGAAAGGCACAGGCAGCTCTGTCTGGGGTCATGCCTTCTCATTTGGTTTCCACGTGAAGACGGATGAGAAATAATGATAATTGCTGTATGCTTGCCTTTTAAAAGCTGTGAAGAATAGGATGGCACGCCCTCAATGCAGTGAGTAGCAACACTCCAAGTTCAAGCTCTGCCCCACTGTGGCAGACCCTCTCTTTGAGTAAGCCCCAAAGCACCGTGATGGTCAGGCTGCTACAGCAGAAGAAACACGTTTACTCCTACATTTGATACAGCCGGCCTGACTTGGACCTTTACCAATGCAGAGCAAGAAGATGGTTCATTTCAAGGCAAAGGAGTTTTACTGCATTAAAACCAATCCAAAGGAAATCAGAATGAAGCTGAATTTGTCTTCTTTTACTTAAGTTCTGCTCAGGCTAACTAGAGCTAAAAAGAGCACTGACAGAGATCCTAACTGATCGACATGAGAAATCAAAAGGTTATGGTGTTAAATACGATAGTGTTTTTTAGGGAATGATTTAAGTCTCCAAGTTTCTGAAATGCCATGCAAATCAGGTGCCACGAGGCTCTTCTGTTGGTCACTGTCTGCATTAAAAACGAACCAGCAGCCTCAGGCAGCCTCAGGAAAAGCGGTTTATGCTTGAGGAACCATTCCACAACATCTTACTTTTCTTGAATACTATCTTTACCTGCAGAAGGAACTTCAACACCCACTTCATCTGTGGAGAGGATAATGTCATTCGTAATTGAGATTTGACTGAATTTCTCATTCTCACTTGCTCTTCCCAACCAATATTTCATCTCAAGACTGCAGACAAATTCATTCTGAGTATTACATCAGATCTGAGATATCCACTCAGCAGCAAACACTTACACAAATTCAGGTAATTTTCTGACATGAACATTGATCTGCATCCGCTTGGCTGCTTGCAGGACGAGCCCTGTCAGCTGGGAAATAAAGGAAATGCATGTTAAAAAAAAATAAACATGAGATTAAAAGAATTTGGAAGTATGCCAACCTAATATTTACACCAGTGTGGACCTGCTTATAGGATGGTGACACAGTGCGTGTGCTAGTTGAGATGGAACTGGGGCAGATCAAAGTTTAAAAGAAGAGAAGACCCACTTAGGGGTATTATTTGTATCCCTCCACCAAGATTCTCTTGTAACTCATGCACCTAGATTCCAGTCTGCCACTAAATTAAAGTGATGTCAAGAGGCTACAAAAGAGATAAGGGAGCCATCATGCTGTCTATGCTGTGCAGACCCACAGATAAGCTGTGGAGGGATCCCTCTTCTTTCAGATCCAGCTGCAGTTCTGGAAAAGGCAACCACCTACAGCTACTTGCTCTGGTCCCTGAATACTGTTGCAGAGCCTCCGCAGGGCCTTTTAAGCACTTTTGTGACCCGTTGAGCAAAATCAGGTGGGTTTAAAGTGCCTGATCTCTCCTGCAGAGAGATAAACTAGCACGTACAAAGCCCTGGGGAGTGGTGCAGGTGAGGACTGCTTTCATGATCTCAACCGTAAGACAAACCTTTCTTTTTAAAGGGTAAAAAACAGACACCAACCGTGCCTAGTCACTACTGACCACAGGGAATGGGAGTAAACGCCCACAGAGATGAACAGCATACAGTACTTCTCACAATATTGCAACCACTAAAATAAAGGCTGCGATGGGATGAACAGGACTGTTTTCCTTATCCAAGCCCCACAATTTAGTACGCAGGGGGGGAGCATGAGGGGTAGAGAGCATTTTATCCTAATACTTAAAAAAGACAGGTTAGGAGCTAGGCAACAGAAAGTGCTTGGCACCAAACCACATTCCAAAAGCATGTGCACTAGAGCTGAGAAAGGAACTAGTCAGTTTCCTCCTGCTTTAGCTGCACCTAACAGCTTGATGAGTCAGAGTACTCTGCCAACTGAGCAGGACATAATTTTGCTCTTGCCCTCAGTCTGCAGTCAGATGTGGGCGTCTAGGGAAGAGTGTAAAACCCCAGACCATTAGGTACAAAAAAGGCTCTACTAGGTCCACTCATCAACTCTGACTTCCCCAAGGCACTGCCTGTAGCAGCTCTGCATTCTCTGGGAAAGGGCCACTTGGTGGCTGCTGAGCGGAGCACTTTTAAGGCTGCAGGGATGGACAGGGCAAATGAGCAGAATTTACACACACTGTTCTCAGACTGGTAACAAAGTAGAACAAGCACTGGCAAACGTGTCATTTTCCAAGCTGCTACCTTCACGACTTAAAAGGCAGCACTGCACAGGAACCAGGCAGACTAGAGAGCAATTTATAAGGACTCTAGTTTGCCCCCAGTAGCCTACAGAACGTGACTCAGGCCTTAAAGTTGTTATTCCCTGTCTAGGGATTTTGCTGCCTCAGCTTAACTCTTGGATTAACACCAGTAGAGATCTGAATGGCCCCCCCAAATTAAGTGCTTGATCTTAATACAATACGATATTAAGATTCTTGTGTTGCTCTCAGTAATAATGCGCGGCTTTCCTTTGCCAAGGCCCCGCCAAATGGAACTCGGAACAACATGGCAGGATCTTTTCAATATCGGATAGACAGCAAACTGGAGTTGCCAGCTCCATTTATTTCTGTCAGCTCACAGTGAGATTTCCAAGAACTCTGCGACCTTCCATGGAAGACACAGTCATCATGCTTCTGTAGCTCTCCTTACATGACTCCATGCTATCAAAACTGAGCCCAGCATCTACTGAATCTTTATTGCTTTGCTCTCTTAGTCCACATGCTAGCTTCTTCAACTTGGGGAAAGCACAGTCAAGAGCAGTGACGGAGGTGGCAAGGTGAACAAGAAAATTATCTTCATCGGCTCCTGGGCAATATTTCAACCCCTTCATCTCATCATTACCAGTCTGATGGCATATTTAATTGCACAGGCACAAGTATTTTAATTCTTGTTATCTATCAAAGTTTGCTCTGCACAACAAGCAAATAAAAATAGATCAATTCAACATAAATAGCATAGATTCCCTGAAGTCATGGGACTATGTCGATACCATCGAAGGAGGCGACCTAAACCCACGTTCTTGGATTTGCCTACATCACTCTTAAAAAGGCTGTACTTACAGGATTGATGTCCACAAACGTCTCGTGATATTCCTTTTTTGGGTGCATGCCCTCTATGTCTGCAATAAACTTTTCATCTGCTTGGTAAAAATGTGGAGCTGACAGAAATATGGGAGCACCTGAACGTGAAAAGATAGAAAGTCACCATTTAACAAATGCAAAGCAGGTCTCTAGAAGGTTACTTTAATTAAAGTCGCTCTTTGAGGACCCCAAAAGCCTTCCCACTGTGCCACCCACAGTCAAAGGAAAAGTCCGTTCTGAAGCTACAGAATTGACACTCAGATCCCCTGCCTTCAGAGCAAGCCAAATTTACCCCCCTGCAGTAGTCAGCATGGCTTCAGGTCTCAGGCTTGCGTGTGGTCTTTTGCACTGTTTTCATTCAACTACTCAAATGTGAGAGCTACCTGGGTAAGAGCAGACTCTAAATGCGCAAGCTGTTCAGTATGGATCCTGGTAACTTCCATTTCTTCTGACTCCTTGATCTAAATCATTGCTGAACAGATGGCATCTCACAGGAATCCCTCAGATCACATTTCCTCACTACTGTAAGTTTAGAACCATTAAATCAACCAATCACTTTTTGGTGACTGATTTCATTGAGCACAGTCATATCTTGACAGAGCTCACCAAATTGTCTTCATACACTTCGGAGAGGAAGAGAAATACGTTGCCGCTGGTGTCCTCCCAGTCTGGTTCCACCACTTGGCAACGTACCTTGCTTGCAGATGCTGACGTTGAGGACACCGGCGCCAGGACAGTTTCCTGGCGGCACACAGAATCCAGCGTTGTCCGGGTTAACAGTAGTATTGGCAAACACCTTAGGAGAGGGCACAAAGCGGTAGGTTGGGATGCCTGCAACACTTCCTGAGCTGTCATACACCAGATAAAGAGATCTGCAGAGAAGAAAAGCCAGATCCAGATTCGTTAGTCTTGAGCACACGCTAACATCTGCTGCAGATTCCTCCTTGCTGGTGCCTGCATTTCTACTTAAGTTTACAGTAAACTAGACTTGGCCTAAAGCTCCCTCACATGATCTTTTGTATTAAATTTAATAGGCTTTTGAACAGCACATACACATCTTGTCATTCTGCTGCTGCACAAAACGGACAATCCTGCGCTAACTGTGCTGCTCCAGGGACACTGAGGCCTGCCTTCAGCATTTTGGTCTCACTCTGCCACTCGTGTTGTTGTGGTGTGTTCTGCGAAGCAGTACTACTGCATGCTACTGTGAGGGACATGGAAAAGAACACAGTTGGGCAAGACAGAACAGAAGGAAGGCACAAATTCAGCAAGTCCCAAATTTAGCATAACACGCATTTGTGTTGATTTAAATAGAGAAGTTCAGATTGGTTCTGTTCAAAGACAAGGAAACCTGGAAGGGAGGAGACTAGCAGGTGGAATATAAGGAAGGAAACACAAAACTCTTCTACATCTTGTTGCATTTTAAACAGCACTGTTTCAAGTCACTAATCCAAATAGGGCAGTCTGGTTTCTCTAGAAAAGCAGGGCACAGAGGAAGATTTTGGAGGAAAGAAGCTTTAGGCAAGGTTTGGATAAATGCTTCCATTCCTCTCATTACATGCCTTGTAAGGCAGTCCAGCCTGTCTTGCCAGTCTTCTCTCAAATTTTCACTTTGCCTTTATTTAGATATAGCTCATCCTTAATTTGATTTTTTTTGGTTTAACTCTTGTCCTTCATGGCATGAACGAATGCAGAACATTAATGCTATTAAATAAAATCATGGGAGGAAAACCATGAAATCTCAACAGGAATGGATGCAAGTGCTCTGCTGTAAAGCTTGAGGGAAAATTTCCTCTTCTTACCTGCAGAAATCAGAAGAAAAGATATAAATGCTTTCATCTTTACTAATCAGTGGGTGGAAGGATGTCCCATCCGTTCCGTTGATCATGTTACACGTCTTTGTTGTCCACCAGGTCAATGACCTGACATAAATAAAGCAAAGAGAGAAAGGGTTAAAAGATCTTTAGGCACTAGCCAGACAGTGCCAGCTAATGGTCGGAGCAAACGAGAATCAGACCTGTACAGTGCTAAGTCCTATTGCCTCAGGTCTGCTAGCCAAAAAAAGGGATTCAAATGGGCATAAATTGCATTTATCTTCTCTCTAAACTGTTACCATAGGCAAGTAAGAATCTCAGCAGCTCCTCCCATACAGGCTATTGCTGGCACATAATTTATTTAATGGAGGAAGGGGAGCTTTAGGTAATTCAATTTTGGCTTCTTTGTAACACAGACTCTCCACTCAAGAGCGTCATATACCTTGGCACAAGTTCTCCCAACTTGGCTCTAGGCAAGTAAATAGGTACTGAGAATACTCACTGCGTTGGGGAACACTGTCCCAGGCTCGCTACTCAGGGGAGCTGTTCCCGCACTGGGCAGGGAGGGATGTCCTAGAGAAGGAAGCAGAGGCAGGGGCACCTCTGCCAAAGGCAGTCAGAGGTTCAGAGGTGAATAATCACAGCAGTCCGCTCTCTAAGGGCAAGGGCTGTCTTCTTTTCATGAATATATCACACTAAACACAGCAGGGGCCTGGTCCGAAGCTAGAGCTGCTAAGAACCACCACCATCTTCACTATGAAAGGACCATTTTTGTAAAGAATGCTTGTGTCTGTCAAAAATGTTAAGGGGGGCAGATTTTGACAGAGGCCTGGCCACACTGAAAAACTTACTCTTCTCCTTTCCATTCCACAATCCTTGAGAAGTTAAGGTAGCTCCTTTCCCCACTTAGGAAAACATATTCTCCATCATCAGTTCCATTCATCTAGAGAGAGATACATTAGTTTATATCGCTCCACTCATTCTGCAACACCTGCTGGTAACTACAATAGGGTGGCAGGCATCTAAGCTGTCATCTCTTCTTAAAATCCGCCTTGGGAGTGACAGACTCCCCTTGAGGTAGGGGCAAGTTGTTAAACTCCACCTTGAATATGAATGAGGTGGAAGTGACTGAACTAGATTCTCACACCTCCCAAGGAAAGAAAATATAACATAGGTTAGTCTTTTTAACTTTGGAATTTTTCACCGAAAAAACAGCCCTTAATGAAAAAAAACAAACCCACTGAAAATAACCTGAGCATCACAGATGTTCTCCAAGAAAAGTTTGGTCCTCACAATCCAGACTGACTTGCAATGAGAAGCACCGTGGAAGCCAGTAATAGCTCCAGCACAGAAATAACATGCAAATTTAATCAATTACCACTAAGGAAACCGGACAGGAAGTTCTTCTAGTAGTTTGCATAACCACCCCACAAAGAGTGTGTTACTCAAGCAACAGTGAAATAGCTTACATGCAGCCTAGGAAGGCTTCTGCATACTTGACAATGTCAAGGGAGATAAAACACTCGAAGCTATGCTTCAGGACCTAGATACAGCCAAACTGTAGTGGGGAAATCCTCTTGCTGTCCCTGCAGCCCACCTCCTGGCCTCAGTCTGGCTACATCCTTCTCAACTGACTAGTGATGACAGTCCCAACTCTGTAGCAATGTCACCACTCCTTATTTAAAGCCTCGGAAAATCTTGTATACCAGTTACCTTGTTAAACAAACCAAACTCTGGATCAGTCTCAGGATGCAAAAGATGAATGGTTGACAGGAGCCTGTCTTTGTAGCCCCACAGTAATTCATGAACGGTGTGTACTGTGAACAGGGATTCTTGGTATAGAATTAGTAGCACCTCTGTGGCAAACCGAAGAGGGGTTGATCTGGTCAACTCCATCGTTGTCTGCCAAAGAATTGGAATCAGGGATAAATGGCCAGATTTACAGAAGAATATGTAATAACAGCTGCATACAAACACAGATTCACGGACACATGGATGCATTTCAGCATGGCATGAAATTCCATTATTTCTACTTGCAGCAAGTAAGGTGTTGGCTAACAGGTTCTTCAGCTATTCCCCCACAAGGATGTGCTCTTGCAGATTCCCATTCAGCCAAGCACTGGCACACAATCAGTTTGGTTACATGCCATTAACTTCTGTATTCTTAAGACTGGATTTTAAGTGAAATGTGCAAAATCACTTTCTAAATAGCCTTAATTTCACTGGTGTATTACAACTGGAGATGCTCTTTGAATTTCACCCTTAGGAAGCTGTAGTTTACATTTGTAAAACTACAGGCTGCAAAGATTACCATTTCCCAAAAATGCAAACAATGCCAAAACTTATTTCCTTTGCAGATGACAAATGGCTTTACAATGTTTTTAAAACACAAAAATAAAGAAGAGGGGATATTTCTTGGGCGAACCAAGCCGTAGTTCTGCTACTGCCCGTTACTGTGTACCATGGTCAAAAATATGGACAAGAGATAACACTTAGTAACACTTAAATGCTAGAAAGGGAAAGTAAATATAGAGACTGTATTGTGCGCAAGCTATTGTAAGCTGAGTTCTAGCTAAGCCTATATACAATGCATTTATGCATTCATTCATACAATCAGACAGCCGTTTTGGGAAACGCTGGGGAAAAAATAGAAATGAATGTACCCTATAACTGAAGTCAATTAAATTAGAATGGAAAGTAAAGGCTTAGTTACACAATCAACAAGTATTTTGGTATTCTCTAATTTCCTTTGCAAGGTATGACTACTTTACATATGTCTGGTCTCATGGTATCCCCATGTGAGACCAGATATAGTGGTCTGTCTGTGACCACTAAAACATAACTTTCTTTGAAGAGTATTTTAATCTGCCACTCTTTGGGGATGCCTTTTGTAATCTTAGTATCATTCTGGGAATGCCTTTTCATTCAGCTATATCCGAAACCCTTCTGCTTTAGATGCTATGTTTCAGTTTCAGATGCAGATTTGGAGGTAAGTTTTGCAATTTTGACTTTAAAAAATTGTAAGTTTTCTCATTCAACTCTCTGAGTTCTTCCAATGCGTTTGACATCGCTAATCCCCTAATTTCACTTGCCAGTGAAAACCCAACAAGCCTGATTTCTACTTAAATGTGCATCAGCTCTCAGGGCAAGAGCGAGGCACTGACACTGCAGAAGCCTAAGGCAAGGGAGGAACATCACAGAAAAACCCAACCCATCCCAAACTTACACTTCCAAAACTGAATGCATTATCCGTCTTGGATATAACCTGCCTCGCTGGTTCTTGAATCACCTTTATCTACCACAATGGGAGAGACAGTGAGAAGCAAAAAGCTGCTAGATATGAAGTGTTTCTGGACAATTTCCAAGCAGAAAACAAAGATAACTCACCACTGCAGGAATATTAACTGTTCTAATCAGGTCCACTTCAGGGTCTCCAACTGACTTCTGAGGTTCAAACACATAGGTCTTTGGGTTCAGAGCAGACACTTTTGTACCATTGTCCAAAAACTGAACATGCACTCTTGGCCTGTATTCTCTGGGAAACAAGAGAGTGGGTTCTTTAAGCAAGTTAAATATGTAAAATAATATAAATTGTAATCAACTTACAACTATTCTACTGTTTTAAGCACATAAAGGGAAGGATTTACAGTTCATTAGGAACTGGTCCATCTCCACTGCTGCTGCTGTCAGCAGTAAGATTCCCCTTTGCGTCAATGCGAGCTCAATCAGACCTTACAGGGTGCTTTCGAAAATGGCACCCCACAGGCTCATTGCACTTTATTTGCCTTGTCTTTAAAAACCTAAGAGGAAAGATGACAATTTGAGACAGTACAGAAGGATTTGGAGGCACTACACGTGGGCCAGACCTTGAAATACAGACTGAAAATTACACTTTTGCATCATTGCTGCAGGCAAAATTCACTCCCAGGCAGAACAAGATGTAGGGTTCATTTAAGTCTCATTAACCTGACCTAAGAACCTACCAGGATTTTTCTGCTGACTTCTACGTACTTTGCACTAGGACTTCTGGGCTTACACATGACAACTGCTGAACAAACCTCATGGTGGCTCTTCCCCTTTAATTCTGAGATAGGAATCCTGGACACAACAGAAACCAACTGAATTTTTGTCCTGAACTGCTCACGGCCTGGGAGGTTGCTTCTGTTAGCGTCCAAGCACTTGGACAAGCACCAAAATGAACCCAGGATTGCTGACAAACAAGTCCAATTGGTAGAAACATCAAATGCTACGTGCTGCCCTGGTGAGGAAGTCAGATCTTAATTACTCTGAAACGTCTGTCATAACCATAATTCAATCCATTGACACTACCATCTTACAAACAAGAAACACAGTTTTGCAGAACTGGCTGGCTCAGGTCCCAAACGAGCTATACCTTTGTCTTCATTAAACCAGAAAATGGAAGCGACAGGTTGTGTACTCATGGCATGATCCTTTTGGTGCAAATTCCAGGTGAATATTTCATGAGTCCGTATTCACCCAAGAGTTTGTTGCTTTTTACATCGCCTTGCTTCCTTAGTAAATTTTAAGTCCCAAGACGCAATGGTGGTTTATTCTGCAAGACGCAGTGCTGTGCTGTGTTTCATTCATTTTAGATCCTTGCTTCTCTCTCAGCTGCACTAGATCTGTTCACGCAGCTTACTGACATGCAGCATTAAGTACTACTCTGGTTCAGCCTTTCTAATTTAAAGCAGACTGGACAGGCCCATAAAACTGCTCTTACTAGAAACCAACCCTTTCCCACTTCCCTTACACAAATAGCAGATCTACCACTCTTCAGCATCCCTGCCAGTTGGGAACATTTTGGTCTGGCAACCCTTCCAGCTTGACTGGGCAAGAGCCTCTTGTACAGCATATCTGCTCTAGAATCTAAGGCTTAAGCTGAGGGGATGGGAATGGGCGGATGTGAAGCGACTTCCCTAAAATAGGCCAGTTAACCTGAGAAGCCTCTGCTATTCTAAAAGGGCTGGAGAGGAAAATAATACTCCCCGATCAGATACACAAGCAGGAAGATCTCAAATGTTAAAGACAAAAAACTGTAATAGCAGGCAAGACCACACAATATTTAAGTGCTCTTCAGGACTCAGTAGGCTTGGGCAGGTAAGCAGTTTGTACCTTAGAATGAATTATTTTATATGTTGTAAATCCAGCTCCCAAGATTCAGAAAGATAAACACTGCTATACCTTTGTTACAGAATATACCTCTGCACTAACTGGGTTTCCAATCAATGCAGGTCAAAAATATGAACTGCCTTAAGCTTAGCCATGCAGGAAGAGATTCTGTTTAGCTGTCCAGCGTAGACTCTGTCACTCATAAGAGCTTTCCCCCGACCTGTCTGGGACGGTTCACTTCCAGCCTTTCTCCCCAATCCCCCATTTTATAAAAACACAGAACTATGCATTTCATTTTAGGGTGCTTTAGGAGTTCTACCACATGCTTAAACCTAAGTGGGTCTGGAAAGCTTTGCTACATCAGGCCTGTGAGATCAACTTGGTATTTCATCTTTGGCTCTAGCATGCAGTGTGTCTGCAGTGTCCCTCCCTTCTCCCTCTCTTCTTGCGTGCCTCCTCTCCACCCCACCCACCGCCAACACTCTAGTCCAGCCAGCAGTGACAGTCAGGCGAGGATTAAATAATCTGCTGGAAAAGTGCACTCCAGTTTCTAACTGTACTGTTTCTTCTTTCAGACAGAGCACAGCAGAATCGAATCCTGCTGAGACATGTCAAAATCAGGCAAACCACACAAGCCAGGAGCAACTGAAACAGAAGACGTTGGAACGCGCAGCCTCCCTCGCTCAGATCGCAATAAACAAGGCAGAGAGAGCCCGCGTCGCCTGCCCCGACCCACTCACAGACTGCCTGCGGTGCGCGTTGCAGGGGGAGGCTTTCCCAGGGAACCGCAATCCAGCAGCTCAGGCTGTGCCTCCCGACAGGCACAGACCAGCCCAGCCAGCTACACCAACCCAGCCCCATCCCACTCAATGCCTTCTTTGCGGTGCAGCTTCACAAACCTGGCTGAGCTAAGAAAAGGGAGAAGAAAGAAACTAACAAGGGGGTATGAGTACCAGGGCACCATGCAAAAAAGCATGGGCCTATGTGGTTTCATATAGTTCTGTCCCATCTAGAGCTAGTCCCATTTATCCGCTGGACAGAAAGGAAGCGCTGCTGACTAATTATTAACATTATACCATACAGACTTGAAGAAAAGCTTGTGAACCTGAAAGTTCATCTGTTTTTTTTTCCCAGTCCTACTGGTTTATCTAATAAAAGGTATTTTGCCAAAGCACCACACGCAGGATGCCAAGGCTAAACAGACACAGCGATGAAATACAGAAGAGAGAGGGCCAAGCAAAGAGATGTAAGTAGAGGTGCTGAGCTGTGGGAGGAGAGAAAGAGAGGAGGAAGACAAACCTCTGAGGCAGAGGTGACCACAGAAAGCTCTCCTTTTTATTCTACAGTACTTTTTCAAGCACTTAACAGCCTGACCTTGAATCATCTTGCAGCTTAGGTAAAGACAACTCCTTCTGACGCTGAACTGCTGCCTGGTCTGAATTGGTGTCTGGTTGACACTTCTGGTGTCAACGACCAGAAGTGAGACTAATGACGAGAACTCAATTTTTTTGCCACGGTTCCATGTTAAAGGCCATAAGGTCTCCTGCCTGGTTTACACTGCTGTGTACAGTGGAACAGAATGAAGTTCTAGTGGAAACCTCACTTCTACAGTGACTTTAATTTCTCTCCAAACGCAGCAAAGTTAGACCATGCAGTGTGAAGCCATAACATGTTAAAGAAGAGTCCAGGAGGTATGGCAAGCTCCATCACTGCACATGCTCTTCCTGGGTCCTGCTTTCTGTAAAATAGTAGCTAGGTCTGAATCTAAGTAGGTTTTATAGTGAGGGTTGGCTGAGGAAGATCCCTGTAGTCCCACTCTGTAACCGGTTCTACCTGGCATCACTTTTTACTGAGATGAATTGCTACATTTTAGCTCGGAACTAATTTCCAAGGGAAAATATGAACCATATGGTTCATATGCTCCTCACCACATACTCCTAAACCATCCCACCAGTCACTGTCTTTTTCCTCCTAAGGCAGCAGGCCAGCATGCAGAGAACTTTCTCTGTGTCCAGCAGCTGAGAAAAAGGAGCACGCGAGCATACCTAAATGCTTTGACTAAAATCAGACAGAAGCGACCAGCTGAATCTAGAACAGACTGCAGATCGTATCAGTCTAGTTGTGGTGTCCGAGTGGTACTCGGCCACCCATTCTCTCTTGGATAAACTTTCAAACACACATCAACAGCTGGGTTTTCTGCTAGAACGGGATCCCAAACGTCCTCCCACTTCTTTGCCTCCTCGCAACCATCAGGTTTGTTTTTACAAAAAATACAGTGAAATGGTCTTACCGGTAGGTGTACGGCCCTACTTCCTCCACGAGAGGAGTATCTCCTTGAAGCACTTCTAAAGGATTTGTCACATTAAAAAAGTAGAACTGCATGTAGACTGGTGGAGAAGGATCTTCCCAGGCTTCAAATGTTTCCGTGCCATTTCTTAATACTGTTCCCTGAAAGAACACAAAGGCAAGTTAACTGTTTTGATAGATGCAGTATTTATAGGAAAGAGGAACACTATGCCCTCAAAACAAGCACGGGCAATAGGCTTGGAAATGCCATTTCCACACGTACTTTTAGACACGCTTTACTTCAAAGCCTCTCACTAAATCTTAACAAAATCAGACAATGCTTGCAGGCTAGGGGCATGTGTCTGTTGGGATTGTTGTTCCATTTCTCCCCACAAACGTTTCTGCCTGACATTTCTGAGAAAGAAGGCTTATCAGCTATTACACAATGGACCTGTTTAATTGAAGTACACCTGTTTAAGGTGTATCAACAAAACTGCATATGAGACATCATGAAACATGTGCCCACACTGCAAATAAAAGAAGTGGAGCTCAACAGTGTGATGCCAAAAAGTACTAAGAGGAGCATCTTAGGAGGAGCAAGGCCAGAAAAGAAGCTGAGCTTCCTTGTGTTTTTAATTTCTTTGCCAAGAATGTCAGATTCCTGTATGGCAAAGAGATTCTGTCTCCAGTGTGACTAGACTTTGTTTTTCAGTAGCCTGGGAGGAAAACCTGCAAGTGACAGAAATGTCTTTAATTCAGGCAGACGGGGATTCATAACTTTTGAGGTCTCTGAACAGGGCAATGTTTTTTTAGCCTCTGCCTTTTATTACTTTCCTACAGTGATGAGAGCACAGGCATCTCCAAATCCATGAAGTATCACTCTTATTTTGTATTCAGCAAAACAGGGACTTACAGAAGGATAGCTATAAACGATTATTTTATGATAGAAGCACTTAAGTAATGAATCAGCAACTCCTTTATCCACTAGCATACTCACGTTATAAGGAAGGTCACACAACTGCACCTGTGCGTGGCTCCATTAGGAACATATAATACAGGCCTTATTCCCTCATTTCATTACCATTCCATTTTAGATAAAATTCACCATAACTATAAAAGTATCACCACCACCAAAATCAGGGCATTTTGTATGGTTATACTACTGATACCGACCCTGTGGTAGTAGGGAAAAAACTGGCTTGCAGAGTGGAATTTTTAGGAATATGTACAAAGAAAACTGTACCTTTAATGCTACTCCACCAGTAGGCAGAAGAAGGGGGCAAATAATTTGCAACTAAATGAGTCTCATCAACACTTGTTCTTTTATTCTTCTGAGAAAACAAGTCAAATATTGTAAGTACAAGCTCAAAAGCAGGGCAGATTGGACTGCTGCCACTTCATGGATGCGATTTATGGGGTCTTAACATCATCAGCCACTGTTGCCTCAGGATTCATTCTGGGCCTTCCACTTAAGTGGCTGTTTTCCCTCCGTATTTTATTTTAATTTTCAGTGATTAGATAAAGAGGAGACTGTTTCAAAGAAAAACGCACTGGTGTTTGAACAGTAGCAGTATTTCTGAATGCCAATGAAAGCCAACCCAGCTGGCAGCATTGAGAAGTTGCAGACTGCTTTCCTCTGAGGATTTTCAAACCATGCACATACCACAAAAAATAATGTATTTTAGGCATGCTTCAGGAGTTTTGTGCATTTCTTTGGGGCTACCAGCACCTCATATATCCCGTTACCTACACAGCCCAACACATTTGACTCTGTTTCCTTGTAATCTATGCCAAAGAGGCTTATCCCTGTATTCAGATAGAGCCCTTCTGAACTTGGTTTTCAGGATCAGGAACAGAAAATCTCACCCAATCAGGTCTACAGTTTCCATGATTCCATAACAGAAAAGGCTGAGAACGAGACAGCAACGTATCTGAGACTACTAGAGATAACCATGACAGCTTTTCTCCATATGCAAAGAGCCACTCTACAAAGTCAATTATTTCAGAGGTTGCATTGCAGTGAACTACTGGTCTGCTCCCTTCCAAAGTTGTATAAAGCTCACGTTTCTCACGTGCATGAAACACAGTGAGGATAAGCTTAACGTTGATAACTAAACTAATTATTACCTGCCTTGAGCTTAACTATCCATACCTAGGAATTTGTACTGTTCCCCCACAACTACTAAGCATATTCAGGCCACCTATCTAGCGCTCAAATGTCTCTCATGCAAGACAACTACAAAAGGGATTACTTCTCAATCTAAATGTATAACTGTTTCACACATTAAAAAAATATAAAAGTGTACTCTGGTCATACTCATTCCAGTTTTAGGCTCCAGTCTATCCTTTCTGACAGGGGGAATCATATTCATGATGTGCAAGGATGCCACTTCCCCTGTCCCCCTCTCCCGAGCTCAGCTGAGAACAAGAAGCTCCCCCACTTGATGTAGCATAGTAAAATGTAACATGGATTTCCAACAAGCTATAAATACATAAATATATGCACCAGATTATATGCAAAGAGCATTAATAGGAAGGAAATGTAGGAGTTTTTCTCTGGCAGACTGGAACAAGTACATGCTCTTGAGAGTCTGAAGTCACAAGTGATCTCCTGGGAGATGGCCTGGAGAGCAAAAAGGTACTGAAACAGTCAAAGTAATATGGTGATTTATTACCTGACCAAGACCATTTGGATCTCTCACAGAAATGACAGCCTCTATTTTCAGATCGGCACATGGATAGCTCTAGTGTAAGCCCAGATTCACAAACTTCTGAGCAGGATTCAGACTCCATGAAACTCTCAAATAATAAAATATTGCAAGCTCTTTTCTTCTATTTTTCACCAAATGTTACCAGGCATATTCGGGTCTATGACATGGTATCACACAGCCTGGACTTGAGTGAAAAAACATGAGCACATATTTTTGAGAGAAACATATGTCCACGTCCCTCAGCTGAAGGCAGTTAGTTTGGCTCTGCCATCTTTTATTCAAACTAGAGTAGGATCTGATGCTACATGACTGGGACTACTATTTTTTTTTGTCAGAGGCTGTGTTCACTACTAGGTTGGGCAGGCTGTGAGATATCAGATCGCACAACTGCTCTTAACCATAGAATACATAAAAGATAGAGTTCCACTGTAGTTATAATTACTGTACTACGTAAAGCCAGGGCGTCAGACTTTTCCTCCAGATACTTACATGCAAGAACAAGAGATAAAACTCAAAGCACTCAGAAACCTCAAGTTAGACACTAGTCCTGCAGGCAGGTCTAGAGGGCAGGCCTAAAACTCCACAATCCTCTCTCACAGAGATGCAAAGGTGTACCTTAATACAAGATCACAACCTAAATTCTGCTGACAATGTGATCTTGCAACCCCACCCAGCAGCACAACAGGCGTTCTCCTTTCCAGGTGGAAAGGAGACTTTCCACTTTCATTTCAAGCCTACCAAGGTGCCTTTCCCACTGACTGTATCATGAATTTGCCCATATCTCATTTTCTTATGTTTCCTTCCCTTGACCACTCTTCACACACAGGAAATGAAAACTGTCTTCCCTCAGAAATGTAACAGTTGTCGGTGGCAATTATGGCAGGGCAGGGAAGGTACTGTCTGCTTTTTGACCTAAATTTCCATTGTTTTCTGGAGCTGTAAAATGTTCTAATGTCAGGGCATACTTCTATATGTTCATCCATGACAGAATTTAATTGCAATTGCTAAAGAAGCAAGTAACAGGGTAAACTTTTAGACCAATACGAGTTCTTTGACCCAGATATTCCCCTGCACCTTGGGTACAGTTGGCTCAAAAGGAGTAGCTCAGCTCATCATTCGACTAAGCCTCCACACTAAACTGTACTGAGAGCTCTAGTAATTTCACATTAAACAAAACACACACCTGAAAATGGTCAATACATAAAAAAAGTTAAGACATAATACTATCTTCCTTGGCCTTCTGGGCACTAAACACTCCTGCCAATACAGCTCTAGAGACGGCTCGGAACAAAATTCCAGTGAAATTTCAAGGGGTCAGAGCACTAAACATTTTCTAAAGCGATCAGTGTAAGGTATGTGGCATAAACCAAACACCTGAGGGAAAGGCTCAGGGATTGATTACTCAAGTTTGGAATTAAGTACATAGATCAAAGCTTGTTATACAGTCATAAACTGCATGGTCATGGCAGTTAAAGCCATAACTATATAACCAATAAACAGCATAAGGCAAACAGTGCTTGCAGCTAAAATGGCTCTTTCCTATGGGTAATTATTTTATTCTTGTTTGGTATCGGTTTTTTCCCATCATTCACTGGATTTTAAGATGCTATTCCCTGACAGCTAATGTATATTGAACAAGCTGGACATCTGATCTGATTCAGCACGACACTCTAATTCATAAAAAGCTAGCAAGACTGGCAAAGACGACAGAGTAAGTCGACAAGATTTGAATGCCTTCTGGGAAAGGTGCTCCTACTCCCCTTGTCACGACACACGTCCGTCCACCTGCTGATTTTCAAGGAGATGAGAAGTCTGGTAGCCTGCTGGATTCCCTGCCCTTCGTATACCCCCTGCTCCTCTACCCAGGAACAGACTTCCCTTTTCCTGTCTTTGGCTAGAAGGCATGCAACACACAAATTGCCTAGTGAAACCTGACCCATTCGCAATGATTCACAGGTCCTAACACAGGCCACACAAGCATTTCGGCTGGTCCAAAGTGCAGTCTTCCGTTTAAGCTGTAACTGAGACTGCAAAGATAGCTCTCCATTGCAAGACACCTCTGTTTGCTGCTGCAGGACTGTAGGAGAGCCCTCAGAGCTACTGGTCGTAATGGTAACCTCTCTCCCTTTGCAGAATCACAGAATAGCTGGGGCTGGAAGGCACCTCTGGAGCTCATCTGGTCCAACCCCCTGCGCAAGCAGGGTCACCTAGAGCAGGTTGCCCAGGACCATGTCCAGTTGGACTTTGAATATCTCCAAGGACGGAGACTCCACAACCTCTCTGGGCAACCTGTGCCAGGGCTCAGTCATCCTCACAGGAAATAAGTTTTTCCTTATTTTCAAGTGAAATTTGCTGTGTTTCAGTTTGTGCCCGCTGCCCCTCGTCCTGCTGTTCTTTTGCAACTCTCCTAAAGGCAGAAGGATCGCTGAGACTAAGAGAAGCCAATGTGAAATTCATGATCGCAGAGATAAGATTTTATGTCCAGTGCCCTGGACGGTAGAGGAGTAAGAAAGCTGGGAAAGCTTAAGTCTTGCCACATTTCAAAGGCAAAGTAAGATTTCTCTATTTGCACAAGATTTTCAAGCTGCATATACAGTTACACAAGAGACAGCAACTTCCTAGACGACACACAAATGAGAAGAAGCTCACATGGGAAAGAGCACATGTGGAAAGCAGCAGAATCAGCAGAGTGACTAAGAGTGCACTGCTTTGGGGCTGAAAGCTGTTCTGCAGTTTGTGGGTGAGGCTTCTGGAGAAGGCCAGGAGGGATTCACAGGCTACCACAGGGAGTAAAACGCTTGATTCTGCACAATTCAGATGCACGGTAGCGCAAGCTAAGAGTGGTAAGGAGGAAAACACTGTGCTCTAGAAGCTTTATGCTGCATTACTGGAAGCTCTGCTGACCAACTACCAACTTACTCTTATGCAATCAAACATTAAGAGTAAGGAGCATGTAGCTAAGAGATAATATGCATAAGGAGGATCAAACCTAATTCCTGACAGTCCTATCCTCTCCCACCAAACCTTTTTTTTCACCCTACTGCTCTTTGGGTAACAGCATGGAATAGGCTTGAAACTAATTTCTGACCTGATGCAGAAGATGACAGAGCTCCTTTCCAAAGAGACTTGAGATGAGGGGAGATGGAACTGTTCATGTCTACACAAAGCTGTATTGGTTTGGCTTGGTTTGACATACATGCAACTTTGCATACATTACCACTCATATCAGTTTGCACCCAGCTTTCAGACTGCTTAGAGAAGCGTATGCGCTGATGAACAAATGACTTCAGGGTAAACCAGGGGTATCACCCATGATTACACTGCAGCACAGCAGAGGCATGTACCTGAGAACAAACACTACAGAGTACCTGTATGAATAGTTCCTGAAGAGCAGATGACACATTGGCAGGCTGCATGACAGCCTACCCTACGGTAGCTTTTTTCTGGCTATCCTCTAAACTTTACAGGCACACTTTAAAGTGACTTGAAACTTGTTTTAAGCTGACTGTCAACCTAGAACTGCACTTAAGCCAAACTGGTTTAAGTTAAGACAATACAGCTTCTACGTTAGGAAATGCTCCCTGTCAATACGTCAAAGAAAAGATCAGTACATTGGTTAGGACACTATGGGGATCAGCAGACTTCTGTCACCAGTTAGACAGGAGCACTGGTCACATCACTATTTTTTAGCACTCTTGATTTCCCTGTTTAAAAAATAAGAGAGGATGATATTCTTCAGAGTATGTAAGTTAATAATTATTCATTTACATTGGTCACAGGTATTTTAAGGGAAACAGCTGATGGTCTTCATTTCCAGTCTTAAGCACGGGGGTTACTAACGCTAAGGCAGCTGACCATTCTCACTGAACCACCATATAAATATAAAGGGCCAGCAGAAGAGAGGAACAAAAGCTTAGGCAAACTATAAACAACAAGGGCCCTGCAATCATAACAATGCCTGGACAGATGTCCCAAAGTGCCCTGCGAGCAGCCTTGGACAAGAGGGTGAACTGCTTTGCTATCACCACCCAGGCAGGGCACAGGTTTCGGCCTAGAGCACCTCGGAAGGCCTGCGCTCCAGAGGCGGCAGAACAAGCCACCGTACGAAAGTCCCAAGGAGAATACGGTAGGTAAGGATGGTGAAAGAGCAGGCAGGAGCGGCGCTTTAGGCACCCCCTGCTCACCCTGCGCGCTGCTGCTCTGGAGCAGGCCCATCGCTACAGTTGCTGCCTCACCGTTAGTAAAGCGTTGATTTTTTAACTCACACGAAAACGCAGCCCGGGCCCAGGCCATCCTGGGGGGGCTTTGCTGCCTCGCCATGCTGCGACCACGGTCGTACCAGGCCGGGGCAAAGATGGAGGAGGGCAG